ATTTTAAAGAAACTGCTGCGTTTGTGGTTATTTAAATCCTAATATAGTATCTTCACCGAATTAAATACCTCATCTCACATTTAGAAAAATGGTTATTGTTAGATTTTTCACTGTTATATGAGAGTAAACTGCAGTACACTTGGTAACAGTGGCTCTCGTAGAGAAATTGTCACTGTTTTATTCTGCTAAAATGTAAAGAACCACTTCAAGTTAAAAATTTTAAAACCAAAAAATAAACAACATAGTTAGGATTTACTGACTTTAGCTGTAGAATTGAGATTTTCTCATGAACATGAGTCTTCATTGAAATACTGATCATTAATTAAGTATTGATGATACAGGTAACGTAGCCTGACACTTGGAATCAAGGCATCAAAAGCTCGTTTTATTATATTTCTAAAGGATTTCATCATGGAGCATTTAATTTTAACGATTATAGTTCTGGCATCCTATTAAATTACATTCTGTGCACCTAAAATATTAGAATTTAAACCACCGATGTTTTTACAAGACTAAGAATGTTTAGAAATTCACCATTGGGAAGACAGCTACAGGGCAGGACCTCAGGTGTCAGATGGGGCTCAATTCCATCTCTAAAGCTTTGTGGCTCCACACACGTTGCTTAATCTGCTTGTGGCGGTGTCTTCATCTGAAACATAGAAGCTATTTCTTAGGAAATCGTAAGTGTCACAGGAAGCAGTGTATTATTTGGACTGGTGCTCATATCTAGAAAACGCTATTAATGTGTTAGCTGTTATGTGCACATATGAATTTGTCTGACAGAGATAGGCTTTCGAGAAACTTAAAAATTGTAGCCCCTAAATTAATAATCATATTTTTACAAGGATCTTAAAGGGACAGCTGGGGAGGGTCAAAAGCAGCACTGACCTGGGAAAGAGGGGATCTTTTGTGATTTATGCACAAGGGCCGGATAGACTAGCAGTAGTCCTGGAAAAGTGCAGCTTCTGACAGACACAGAATGAGCACTGTGGTCTGTCTAAAAAATTAGAGATAACATTTGTGTGGAGACTGGGGAGAAGGAAAGGTTTGAGAACTGGATACTTCAGAAGGTAAGCCTTTGCTAGATCACCACCCCTAGCTTCCTGAATTGCTGATCTGTGACACATTTAAAATTTAAAAAGTAATTTTAGGGTGATGTGTTTGATTGTTTTATCTTCTGAGTAGTTGTAAACTTCGGTACCTTGGTTTTCAGTCATCAGTTCGTAAGGGCTGCAGTTCATTCAGTTGTTTATATTGCCATCCTAGAAATGTTGGAATACAGCCCAATAGAGGCTTTTGTTGTTGTTTTGTTTTGGGGGCGGTTTTTGTTTGTTTTGTTTTTGGTACTGGGGATCGAACTCGCATCCTTGCACTTGCGAGGCAGGCGGCAGAACCACTGAGCTACATCCCTGACCCCCTAGAAATGTTTGGAATTACCAGAGTAATACCTGTGTAAGTAGGTTTAGCATACCAAATGTGTCATGTATTGGTACTTCTGTGGTTAATAAAACTTTTATCCAGCCCTTTCAGTACTGGTTATCGACTAGTGGCTGTGTTATTCACAACATGTCACATTCTAAGACGCGCTTTCCTGTTCCTCGCAGATGAGCCGACGAGCCCTAGCATTGACCACGACATCGCACACATCCCCGCGTCTGCTGTGATCTCAGCCTTGGCCTCTCACATGCCCTCCATGGCGACAGTCCCTCCCAGCCTCACCACTTCTGCCCCGTTAATTCGCCGCCAGCTCTCTCATGACCACGGTGAGTTAGAGAGAGGCTCTGTGAACCTCTCTCGCTGCAGCATGAGCCCCTGATCTGCTCACCGTTAAGAGTCTGGAACCCGCTTATAGACAGATGCATGTTGGATTCAATTACAGAATCCGGGGCCCCTCCCAGCCTGGACGCCCAGCCCAGCTCAAAGACAGAAAGGTCCAAATCCTATGACGAAGGGCTGGATGATTATAGAGAAGATGCAAAATTGTAAGTTCCCGTTGTAAAATATTTATAGTTATTTGTATTTGTATGTGGATAGGTGTTGAGCATGAGTGTGGCATGTACGGACTTTCAGAAGTGGTCTTGTATTTTCTAACTGTGTGATATTCGAAATGCAAATTAAAAACACAATTGTTACTTGGTGACATATCCAGATGATTGTTGATGATCAGCAGCACACAAGTACGGTACAGATACGTAGGTATTGAATCCACCTCCCACCCTAGACTTGCAGCCCTTCAGCACTGTGCAAACACAACTGGGTTACTGTTTCCGTGAATAATTCTAGAGCTGGCTTACGTGTGAAGTCTCTTACATATACATGTATTTGCGTTTTAGTTATTTTATGAGCAAAGGATAGTTGGAGTACGGTGATCAGGAAACCCTTCAGGTCTTAAACTCTTGCCACATTTTTTGCATGGTTTAGTTTTCCGTTGAGTTGTACTGTCATATATTTAACCAGTGTTCCATATCCTATTAGTAGCTGTTTAGTTTGCTTGAATCATACATGACCAGAAAGAACACTTTACAGCCCATGTGCTAAGTTCATTTAGTACCTGTGTGAGCAAAACTGGAAACAGGGTTATTATACCAAAGGGTGTATCTTTTAATAGTTCTTGTCAGTTGCTCTCCATAAAACAATTCACATTGCCACCAACAGTGTAAGAATGTTTCCTTTACTGTCATGCTGTGTGTTAAGTTTTAATTCTTTTCAAATCTAATTGTATCATATTTTAGTTGTAATTTGAAATAAATTGAACAGATTTTTTTTTTTTGGTTTTGGTTTCTAAGACAGAGTCTATGTAGTTCAGCCTTGTTTTGAGCTTGTGGTGATCCTCCTGCCTCTGCCATTGAACAGTTTTTTTTTTTGGTTTTGGTTTCTAAGACAGAGTCTATGTAGTTCAGCCTTGTTTTGAGCTTGTGGTGATCCTCCTGCCTCTGCCTCCTGAATGCAGGCACGCTCTTCTATTCCACATGGCTGGATATTTATATTCTTTTTTGTGAAGTATTTTTTATATCTTGTCTCTCTTCAACTGGTTTTTCTGTTGACTTCTGCATGCTCTTTATATAAAAGCTAGCACTTTTCTGTGATAAGAGTTGCAAGTCTTTTTTCCAATTGAGTGTTTTTCATTTTGTTCTTTTTTTACCATCCAAAAATGTTAAATGTTAAAAAAATTTTTTTCTGTAGTTAAATTTAGAAAATATTTTTATGACTTTTGGATTTTGAGTCATACTAAAAATCTGTTTCTATCGCAGAATTATAACAAAATCCTGCCATGTGTACTTCTCAGATGCATGTATTTTTTTATGTTTACAATGGATTCTTTTTTTTTTTTTTTTGGATCAGGGATTGAATTCAGGTCCTTGAGCTTGCAAGGCAGATGGCGGAACCTCTGAGCTAAATCCCTGGCCCTACAACTGATTCTTCTGCAGTTGGTTTCCCCTCTCAGCCTCCACAGTGGCAGAAGCAGCTCCTCTGACCCAGTCTGGCACCGTACTTGCCCTGGTCCTACCCCATGGGAGGTCACTTCTGATCTCTGAAGGAAGAGTGGCCTTCAGCGCTTACCTACGCTGTTCTCTCTTCCTGTACCATTTTTCAAGTAATGCATTTAGCCCCCCTTCTTTCACATATTGCAATTCGGCGTTACAGTGTTTCCTTATCCTGGTCAAAGCTGCTTTTGTGTATGCTTCTGATTTCCTTGTTATGGGGCAGTTTCTGAGGGAAGTCAGTGACATTTTTAGTTATGTCTAAAAACTCATAAGTTCTTCAAATGGCTTTTCCATTTAAACAATCTTTTGTCCTCTACTAGCAGTTAAATTGTTCTGAATACTTTGTGTGCCTCTGCCTCCTGGACCCCTCACTCTCATCGTGCATCTCCTTGAAGCTGCTCGGGGTGTGGCTGGTGCCATGCTGTGCCCGCTGCCGTACTTAAGGACCCAGGTGCCCCAGCTGCACACACCACATGGGGCTGCAGCCAACCGCCCAGAGCAGCTGCTCACTGAGCATAACTAGCGTGATGCACATCCTTAATCGTCTTCTAGTCTGGGTTAACTAATAATGTACGGCCCAGCGTTTAGTCTCAGGAGCTTCTTCCATCTAAAAAAGATAAGAAAATCTCATACTTTAAGTAGAAACAGTTTTAATTTGCCACATAGCCAAGAAAACTTGTCATTGAAAGTTTATTTCGCCTACCTTTAAAAGTGAACATTTAACATAATAATGATGAAATGCCAGCTCACTAATGAATGGTTAGTTTTAATAGTTATTGTTTTTATGCCATTAAGGTATTGTTGTGCTTATGATAAATATTTATGTGCTTTTCCCCCCCAACAGATCCTTTAAGCACGTATCTAGACTGAAAGGAATCAAGGTTGGTATTCAGTGCTTTAAAAATGCCAAGCAAATGATAAGTGTTTATCTTTGTCTTGGTTTACTCTTAAGCACATTGTGGAAGACTTTTTCTTTTAGCCATTGCATACTAAGAGAATAAAAGGTTATGACACTGAAACACTAAGTTAACTGCATCTGGAAAATATTTAATACAAGTGTTTCTAATTTCCAAACACATTTATGAAGTATGTAGTACTTCACACACATGATGCTGATTTTTGTCATTCGAGGCCAAAAATGTACCTGTCCAGCAGTTCTCCTGTGTCCCGCTGTACACACTTCTTCGCGCTCATACTTACCTCGCACCTGCCCCACCGCCCCTCTCTTCAGCCCGCACCTGTCCCCTCTGTGTTCTCCCCGTTACTCTGCATCGAAAACACAAGACAGTTAGGACTTTTCTTATTCCCGTCTCCATGACTCGTCCCCTGCATGCTCTGGCTTCCTCTCTCTTGCCTTAGATGCCTCTGTGCATTATCCCACTGGAAGCCAAGCCAGCACGCACACCTCCTTGCCTTGCACCCCTGCTCTTTTTCTCAAGCCCCCTTTTTTTCTACAAAAGCCACTCTTCCCAGGACTCCTGCGCCATCACACATGGTCGAGTTCTGGCCTTCCCTGCTTTGAAAGGACTCTTCCTGGAATCTGCATCCTCTCTATGAGCTACTCATTTTCTCTTTTTCAGTAAAACCCCTGAAACAGTCGTTTGCAGTCTCCACTACTTTCAGTCCACACTCATCAGGGTAGCACTGCTCAGCCGAGGCTGCCACTGGCATTCAGGTCCAAAACTAGTGCTTACATTTAATTTATTTGATCTTATTTGACCTCTCCAAAAGTTTTTCCATTTCCTTCCTGAAATACCTGCACATGCTGACTTCTGTTTTACCATTTTTTTCTTCCTTTCCTTCTGCCTCTAAAACTGCTTCACCACCTCCTTTGCTGGCTCTCCTGCCTGTGCATAACGTGCAGAACGTTGGCATGCCTAGAGTCTGTTCCAGCCCTTCTGGGTCCATGCTGGTTTTCTCAGTGGTCTTAACAGAAGTCTCCCCTGGTTTGCATCACTGACCTTGAGTTCTTCCCCAGGCTGCCGCTGACCCAGCTCCTACCCATTGGGATGTGCAGGGTTTACGTGGCCGACAGAGCTCAGTTTGGTCCAGACTGCTTTACCCTGGCTCTTTCTCATCGTACTTCCGTTCCATTCACCCGCTCTCTGAGGCCACATTCTAGAAGTTAACCTCGTTCCTTTCTGTTTCGTTCTCCCCCACCACATCCTTGTACTCCAGCATTTCCCGAATATTCACAGTCTATCTCTGTTTTGTCTGACGGTGCTTTTGTGCGCGCGGCCTTTGTCCCTCCCCGGACGGCTCCATTCTCTGGACTGTCATGCTTGTCCCTTACACAGCCGCTCTCCACAGCGCTCAGAGCAGTCTTAGAGCTGTGCGGCCGGGTAATGTTGCTGCCTGATGCATCATGCATAGGCTTTCCTTTTGCTCACTGTGAACAGTGGGTATTCAAGATGCTAATGATGAATATGCACTCGCTAGACTTACATTCTCCCTGAGATGTTCCTCACTTTTACCTTCAGAGCTGGCCCCTTTGTGCAGGTGTCACCTGGTGTGACTTTTCAGAGAGGCTCTGCCTCAGCGCCGTGAAGTAATAGTTGCTATTCACTCATTCATTACTGCATCTCACTATTTTCATTGTCCAAACGGCACAAATTACAAATCCATCGTTCTCTTGTCTCTCTTTTAAAATTGTTTATTTCCTATTAAAATGCGAACTCATGAGAGAAGGAAGAGCACACTACAGTATTTGTGTTTTGTTATTGTTGAATTCTCTCGGGTAACTTACTGGCGTTTTCTCGGCCTTTTCTTCCTTAGATCACGGACAGCCAGCAGTCGTCGGAATGCTCGGGGTCCAGGAAGGGCTCTTCCTCCGAGGTCTTCAGTGATGCGGCCAAGGAAGGGTGGCTCCAGCTCCGGCCCCTCGTCACTGATAAGGGAAAGGTAGTGCATTTTCTAAGCTCCTGTGAACTCAGAAGCACGGGCCCTGACAAATCAAACAGTGTGTTCATAAAGCAGGAAGACACCCAGATTGAAAAGTGAAAAAACACTTCCATAGAAAGACAAAAAGAAAAACTTTAATCATTGAAAATCGCTGTGCTTTTCTTCCTGTGCAGCGACTGGATTAGATACTTTGGCGATGTGCGAAAGAAATCTGAGTGTTTAGAAGGAGCTCTGGTGCTTTCCTTGTCGCTTTACTAGCTGCAGGTTATCACAGTTGGGCCTTTAGGAAGTGACAGTTCTCCAGGTTAATAATTTTAAAATACTTGTCTCCGTTTTAAATTGCCTTTGTAATTTTAATTTACAAATACTGACTTATTTAAACCGACATAAAAATATCAGAATGTTTCCTTGGGATTCTAATACAATAAATTTTTACCATAAGAATTTTCTATAAAATTTAAACATTATAAGGACATTTTAATACTGCCAAAAATAATTTTAAAATTCTAAGAAGGCTTGTCTGTAATACGGATATTGGTGCTTCACCATACGAAGTTGGCTGAGTTGGTGACAGTGTGCATCACTTTCATGCTGTCAGACTTGTGTTAAATCTTAGTCTTATTTGGGAAAATTTTTGAAAAATTTTTTCTTGTTTCCTATTCTGTTAGATTTTTAAATATATTTTATAACATTTTCATTCATTCATTTTTTTCTTCCCAACTCAATTGGAGTTGGGATTTTACCTCTACTATCCTTGACTTTGATACGGTTCGTTTACACCCCAGCCTCTTCCTTCCTCTCCTGAAAAGGTGAGTAGTGAGGTGACCAGGTACCTGCTGCACGAGGTGTCCCCACGGCAAGTCGGGGGCGTGCCGTGTGCGGTTCCAGTCACTGAGGTGCAGCCCCGTCTCCTTCCTGGGAGCAAACCAATCCCTGTCTCCTTAGCGAGTCGGGGGCAGCACCCGGCCCTGGAAGCAGATGTACGTCGTGCTCCGAGGCCACTTGCTCTACTTGTACAAAGACAAGCGGGGGCAGAGCACCCCGTCCGAGGAGGAGCAGCCCATCAGCGTCAACGCCTGCCTGATCGACATCTCCTACAGCGAGACCAAGAGGAAGAACGTGTTCCGGCTCACCACGCCCGACTGCGAGTGCCTGTTCCAGGCCGAAGACAGAGAGGACATGCTAGCCTGGATCAGGACCATCCAGGAGAGCAGCACCCTCAACGAAGAGGTTGGTGCTCCCGGGCTTGGGTCTCACTCTCGCTCTCTCTGTTCCTTCAGTATGTAAGAGTCTGGTTCGTTATCCTTGTAAAAAAATTACACTATGCTGTTTTCATTTACAAAACAATCTGAAGGGGAAGTCCGTCATACTTACATTAGATCACTTTTACCTACTGAAAATCGCCACTACTGAACTGGCGCAATAGACTAAACGTCCTCTGCTACCTCCTCAGAAGCGGTGGGTCACTGATGGGACACTGGGCCCCTAGCCTGCTTCTTGTGAGTTGTCCCTGGGAACTTGTTCGGGTTGGGCTCTGGGACCTCGACGGAGCTGAATTTGTGGGGATTCGAGTTTCTCGTATAAAATGGCATAGTATTTACACAAACCTAGCCACATCCTCCCGTGTACTTGAAATCATCTCTAGATTACAATCCCCACTACAGTGTTAATGCTGAGCAAAGAATTGCTCTACTGTGTTGTTTAGGAAATGACAAGAAGAAAGGGTGTATACATGCTCAGTACACATGCAGTTTTTTGCAAATATTTTTAGTCCCAGCCTGTTGAATCTTCAGAAGCAGGACTTGAAAATAGAAAGGGTAAGCTGTGCCTTTATGACCAGATTTTCTTTTCTTTTTGTTTTGTATTTTGGTTTTGTTGTTTTTTGAGACAGGGTCTGGCTGTGTAGTCCTGACTGGTCTTGAACTCATTTTGTAGCCTAAGCGCCCAGGCTGGCCTCCCTGCTTTCCCTCCCCTCCCATTCTGTATTTTCAGTTTTTTGAGAGAGGGTCTCACTGTGGAGTTCAGGCTGGCCTTGGACTCACTATGTATCCCAGTGTGGCTTTGAATTTGCAGTGATCCTCCTGCCTCAGCCTCCAGAGGGCTGCGATCATGGGTACAGCACCACACCCAGCAGATCTGTTTTGTGATCTCAAAAAACAAGATTGTTGTGAACTTAAAATACATAAAAAATACGTAGCAAAATAAATTACTATATAAAGGCAAAGAAATACTAATTTTTATTAATGAAATTATGCAGGCAAAAATACAGTCTGTTGTATAATTGCTTTCTAAGAAAATACACATTATCAAAAATCATGTTTTAAAGACTTGAGAATTTTCAGCTTACAACCATCAAGAAAATATCTTTATGGCTGAAATTTCAGTAATAAAGGTAGTTTGTGAAGAATGTATACCTGTAAACTTTTGAGATAATCTAGCAATGAAGTCAAACTTTTGTGCAGAGTATTTTCTTTCCTTCATGTCATTAACGCTGTTTTCCTTACACCACCGTCTCACTTTTCATGCCTCTTATAATCAAAGTACAGGTTCTTTTCTCCTACTTATCGTACTAAGGAGCAGCTGCATTACTGCACAGCCATACAGATTACACGCTCTACCCACATCGTTTCGTCATCCCAATTTAAAGATGAGAGCACCATGAGAAAAACGCCTGGGTGTCTTCCCTCTCCTAGTCTGTATGCTGCCTTGTCTGCGGTTAAGAATTAATACCAAATCCTTAACAATACAACCTGCATTCTGCAGCTGTTCCCCAGAGAGAGCATCAGACCTGAATTTGGTAAAATAGAAAAGACCACAGGTGGAGATTTCAGTTTTAGAAGATAGTTCCTGCCTGCCATGTGCCAGGCGCTCTGTTAGGAGAGAGTCCCTGAGTAAATCCCTTCCTGTGGGGCCAGGGGGCGGGCACTGAGGCCACCTGCGTAACCAGACCCTGCCTCCAGACAAACTAAACCTCCTCAGAGGACTTAACGTTAGCAACACAAGGGTGAGATAGCTGCATGTGAAAAATGTCCTGTAGAGCCCGGCATATAATAAGCATTTATTCCGTGTCTGTCATTGCCGTCATCTATTTTTAAGGTGATGGATGATCTTTCTCAGACTGGTCGGTGGAGTAGCTCACTGAGCACATTTCCTATGGCAGGCTCTGTTAAACGTTTTTCGTGAATGAATCTCAACAGCCGTGTGAATATTTGTGTTGCCATCACCATTCTGTAAACAAGGAAACTGTTTCAAAGTCGTAACTAAGTAATTTCCCCAGGGTTACGGCTCAAGGCAAGGATTTCGATCCAGGCTCTCATTCTAGACGTTGGTCACGTGCTCTCATGGAAAACTGGAAAAGGTAGTCCCCGCCCAGGGCTGTGTGTGCTGGGCAAGCACTCTGCCAGGGAGCTGTGTGCCCTGCCTTAGAGGAGTAGGGTGTTTAATTTCCTCCAGATGAGATGATGATATAATGATATAAATGGTAACAATTTGCAATAATATAAATATGATAAAAAGTAATATAATGAAAGACCGCAAAGCATGTCTTTCATTATAATGAAAATGAGAATTGGAAGATGCATGTCATCATATAATTGAAATGGATACAAAAAGAAAAAATCCCTTAGCTCAGGGGCACACAGTACCTGCCTTGCAAGCACAAGGTCCTGAGTTCGATCCCAGTACCAAAAGAAAAAAGAAAAATCCCTTCATGCTCAAGTCTGGGTTAACCAGGCAGTATGTTATAAACTAACTTGGGCGAGGGATTTAGCTCAGCTGTGCAGGGTGCTGAGTTTGATCCCCAGTACTGGAAAAAAAAATTACCTTGCTGTTTAAAAAAAGGCAACAGTGTGAGCTTTTCTCCTGATAATCTTGCAGTACTAATTGACTCATTCTCACTGCTCCTACAAGTTAATCATTAACAAATTCTGGCAGTATTTTTCCATCTTCGTTTTAATGCTAAGCATTCTTCCTGCAGTTAAAGAAAAAAATGGGCTCTCTGCTGCAAAGTTATGTATAAAAATGACAGTTCAATGCCTATGGAACACTTGTGCTTGCTGGTGCTATTGTATTGCACAAATAGAGAAAACAATCAGAAAACTCTAGAATGGAAGGTGGCTCTTGGACATTGGTCTTGGGCTTTGAACAGCTCCACCAAGAACAAATGAGAGTGCTGATGTTGGACAAGCACACGAGTACAGTGGAAAGCTTTCCCCCAAAGTAGGCACCATCGCTTCGTGCTTAAAACTGACTTTCTAATATTACCTTTTATTTCTTCTGTAGGATACTGGAGTTACTAACAGGGATCTAATTAGCCGAAGAATAAAAGAGTATAACAGTTTGATGAGGTGAGAATCCCATCATGCCTGTGATTAATACAGATGTAAAATAGGAACGTGTTCATAAATGTTCACTCCTCTCCACAGCAAAGCAGAACAGTTGCCAAAAACACCTCGCCAGAGCCTCAGCATCAGGCAGACTTTGCTTGGCAGTAAATCGGAGACAAAGACTCAAAGCCCACACTCCCCAAAGGAAGAGTCAGAGAGGAAACTTCTCAGTAAAGGTACTGGTGTCCGCTTATCAGGCAGATTTGCCAAATGAAACATGAGATTCAAGCACAGCCATGACAAAGGGAGGAGAATGACTCGTGAGAGACGCTGCAACTTTGAGCGCCTCAGAAGACACAGGTGCTGCCATTTTCATCAAAACCAGTATTTTTCCCTTTGCTAAATCTCACTATGAAAATACATGGATTCTGCTCTCTGGCTGATTTAAAGGATCACAGTACATGTATTAGTATGAAGAAAATAGTTCTGATAAATGTGGAATATTTTACAGGATTCCAATTGTTGTAAACATAGATAAAGATTTTTAAATTCATGATTTGAACACTGTTGTTTTTGTTTTCTTTGTCATTTCATTTTCAATAAGAATCAAAAGATGATACCAGTCCCCCAAAAGACAAAGGCACATGGAGAAAAGGCATTCCAAGTATCATGAGAAAGACGTTTGAGAAAAAGCCTGCTGCTACAGGAACGTTCGGCGTCAGGCTGGACGACTGCCCTCCGGCGCACACTAACCGGGTAGGAGACTTGGCCGGCCTGCTTCCTGGGGTCGTGCATTCAGCCGTGACTGTGGCAGGGCCTGAGGATGGAGCCTTTCAGATAGCAGGGACTGGACTGCCTGTCCATCTGCTGAGTCCTCCTCTTTGAAGCAGACCTTAGTTTCCTTAAGTTCTTACGCTTGTGCATGTGGAGTAATTTTATCTATAATGTTTCTTCTCGTGTTGACCTGAGATGGATGATGATTCAGGCATTAGGGATACAGCTGAAGAGGTCAATAAGAATTCTATTTCCAGTCGTGCGTGTGTGTGCGCGCGTGTGTGCGCGTGTGTGTGTGCGCGCGTGCGCGCGCCTGCAGCATCTTAAGAACAGCACAGACGCGATTAAGAAAGCACAGTAAATAGGTGTAGCTTGGTGGTAGAGCACATGTGAGGCCCGGAGTTCAGCCTCCAGGACCCCACGCAGGAGCACAGTGTAGTCAACGTGCATGCGCGAGTGCGTTTAACTCCAGCGTGTTAGGGTTCGTGTCACTCACTGATTGACCTACTCTGCCTCGCTCTTTCCTGGACTCTGGTTCATTCACTTGAACTGTTTGCACCTTCTCCTGACTGGCACTTGTGTCCTCGTATCTCCTGCCGGCCCTTCTTGGTCTGCCTCGGCCTATTCTTCTCTTCCCACTTCCTCAGATGTCCCTTGCTGGTTTTACCTATTTCCTATTCTCCGGTGGATATGTCCTTTATTTTCTCCACACATGCTCCTTTCTGGATAAAAAGCGCCCTTTAAAAGCTGTGATATACAACTACTAATTGAATACAAACCTTTATGCCACGTTAAATAAAATGTTTGTATCTTGTTTTGCAGTACATTCCATTAATAGTTGACATATGTTGCAAATTGGTCGAAGAACGAGGTCTTGAATATACAGGTATTTACAGAGTTCCTGGGAACAATGCAGCAATTTCAAGTATGCAGGAAGAACTGAACAAGGGGATGGCTGACATTGATGTACAAGATGACGTGAGTGCATTGTAATAACTGGTCCGGCTTGTTTTAACCTGTGGTAATAATATGACTACAAAAATGCTGTATTTCTATTTTGCATACCTAGAAATGGCGAGATTTGAATGTGATAAGCAGTTTACTAAAATCCTTCTTCAGAAAACTCCCTGAGCCTCTCTTCACAAATGGTAAGTTAACTCCCGGGAAAGAAGCCAGAGTCAACAGTTCACATTACAACTGTCGGAAAACGATAGGATGTTAGTGTCAAACAAAAAAAGAGGTTCTAATTCTAGTTTACTTATGAAATGCATGATTTTATGAGTTGGGTTTTTCTGCTGGTACATTTCAATGATAAAGGACTGATTAAGAGTACATAAAGAACTCAAAAAATTAGATGCACAAAATAAAAGACCTAATCAAAATGTGGGCAGTGAAATGAATAGACATTTCACAGAAATACAAATGGCAGTAAACACATGAAGAAGTGTCCACCATCACTGGCCATTAGAGAGATGCAAATTAAACCAACACTGAGATTCCCTCTTACCCAGAAACAGTAGTTATCATCAGGAAATCAGTAATTCAGGCTGAGGAACCCTTCTGCATTGTTGTTGGGAACATAAACTAGTAGAAGCATAGTGGAAGTCAGTGTGGAGATTACACACACACACACACACAAAAGAAATTCCATTTGACCTGCCTACTCCCCTTGTAGGCGTCTTCTCAAAGATGCCATGTTTACAGCAGCCCGTGCCCGTCGGCAGAGGGACAGGTGACACGGTGTGTATACACGCAGGGGAGCTCTACCTGTAGGAGAGTGGATGCCCCTGGAGACCGTGTTAAATGAGTCAGATGAATGAGCGTCAGTACCGCGTGGCTACGCTTACCTGAGAAACCCGAGTTATAAATAAGCAGCAAAAGAAAAGATAACAGGAGGTAGGGAGACAGATGAAGACATGGGGAGTGAGGTGCAGGGAGGGCAGGGGACGCGAAAAGGAACTGACAAGAATGCAAGCATGGTGTACTGCAAACAGGTAGTAATAAAAATCAACTTTTAAAAATTAGCATCCTAAACATGTTGTTTAAGGTTAATACAATATATATTATCTGGGTCATCTCTGTTGTAAATGTCAGAGTACACTGTGTTCACTGAAAAGTCTAGACAAAATAAGGTGTGATTAATAGAAAAACACTTTGTCAGTCAAGCCAAATAATTGAGTTCTGTGAGAGACAGTCCTAGCTAGCATGGCTGGAAGTGGGACAGAATGGATGGACAGACTATATAAACATGGGAGGAGACGCTCAGAGAACTCACATTTTTGTGAATTTTCTGTTAAGACTTGGAGGGACCTGGGATTTGGCTAGGTGGTTTCCCGCCTGCCTCCCAAGTGTAAAGTCTAATCCCTGGTACCCCCGCAATTTACATTCCAAAGGCTATTTGAGAGCCCCCCCACCTTTTTGTGGCTTTAAACCCTAAAAGTAGTTAACAATTCACACAAGCAATTTAAGATAAATTTGTTTTATTGTTCTTACTGTTGTCAGATAAGTATGCAGATTTTATTGAAGCCAATCGTAAAGAGGACCCTGCTGAGCGACTGAGAACCTTAAAGAGACTGGTAAGCTGCGCTTTGTCCTACTGGGTTACAGCTGCAGTGCCGCACAGAAACCCACAGGAGCACACTGTGTTTCAGATTCACGATTTGCCTGAACATCATTATGAAACGCTCAAGTTTCTCTCAGCTCATCTGAAGACGGTGGCAGAAAATTCAGAAAAAAATAAGGTGTGTAAGGTGTATATTGAAGAAATAGACTTTTAGAGGCTTTGGTTTAAAAGATATTCTTCATTGCTTCTTTGCAAAAGTCAAAAATAGGTTCATAATTCAGCAAAAGCTCTAAAATTATATCAAACTGACCAAGTCCCTTTGATTCACAAATAACTGTCACTATTTTCCAAATGTATTTCATTTTGGAAAATTTTGCCCAAGAAAAATGAGAAAAGTCAGAAATTATACTTTGAATTTTCAGCTGTTTTTTTTTTTT